AATTTCCCATAGAATTTTTCAATATATGTATGTGGAAATCTATTAATAAGCCTTCCTCCAATCCTGGTGCTACATCGTTCTTCATAGGAGAAGGTACCCCACAAAACAACAGAATTGTGCTGGGCGGAGCGAAGCTTTTATAGTATGCATTTTTCCCACTAGTTGAACATGGAGCAACTCACTCTGAGTTAGTGCACCCAGAGGCGTCACCTGGGAAGGTTCCCTCTGGTCACAGTGAATTTTTTCATAAAAGAAGTTTCACTCTATATGCAGCTGTGAAATTTTGTTTCCTGCTCAGGAAAAATGCAACTTGTGATATTGAACGCAGCTTACAATTACAGCGCTATGGAAAAAACTCAAGTGTATGGCATGCACCTTTATTTATTTCAAAAAAGTTGAACTGTCAATGGATGACAAACCTCATCTGGGTGTCCATCAATTTCCTAAACAGATGAAAATGTCCACTCCTAGTGCATTTCAAGTTCATTCCACCAGGTCAGACTGTTAATCAAGCTTTCCATTTAGAAGACCCAAAAAGAGAGTGTAACAGTGTGGGAGAAAAAGTCCTGATTTGTGGCAGATGAGGAACTGGCTTTGTCACCATGACAATATGCCTGCTCACACAACCATCTTAGTACACCAGTTTGGGGCACAAAACAAAATTCCTCTCTGGACCCATGCACCTGGCTCACCTTACCTTGCTCTATGCGACTTCTTTTTGTTTCCACAAATGAAGAGAAACATGAAAGGAGAGCCATTTGATGACATAGAAGAAGTGAATAAAAAAATGAGGGAGGTGCTCTCAGCTATCCAAACAAATGAGTTTGAAAAATGTTTCCAAGGATGGAATCACAGATTTGACAAATGTTTTTAATGTAATGGAGAGTAATTTGAAAGTAATAAGGTTTTTTTGTAAAAACCTTAAATACATAGCTTTGAAAAAGAATTCTGAGGTTTGCTCAGCATTCAGATTGAGTAAATATGGTGAAAGAATACAGCCCTGAAGTACACCTTTCCTGGTTTTCAACCACTCAATATCAGCCCCCCTTTTTTTAAAAAATAACTGCCTCTTAGTCTATGCACATGAGCACAATGAAGTGTTTTGGAATTCACATTCTTTGCGATGCTTTCCATAACTCATTATGCGCCACACAGTCGAATGCCTTCTCATAGTCAATAAAGCACAAGGGAACATTGTATGTGCATGCACACACACGTTAACATGTGCACACGCATACAAAAAGTATACAGATCATAGCACATCTCTTTGTTCATTTTAAAACAAACTGCTTTTCAATGACCATCTGGGACCTATGGTAGTTCAGTTTTCTGTCAAGTTGTTTGGGCCAGGATTCTCAATCATTTGGCAATTGTTACATAACAATTCCCCCTGATGTGACTTAACACAATATAATCATCTCCATAAAGGGATCTGCTATGAGCAGCCAATCAGTTGTACAAAGATTAGATTTTTGTACACCCCAATTCAGATCCGAGTGCTGGTTCAATTAATTGAAAGGATGTTTCCTGGTTAGCTACAGAGGCTTTACAGAAGACTCTAAAGCCCTACGACCTCCTGGATCCAAGGTTCCTAAACCTGGGTGATTGTTGTAATCACCTGGAGATCTGGTGAAACTGCAGTTCTCTGGGCTCCTTCCCGTAGAGATGCTGATTCATTAGGTTGCAAACAGAGCCTAGGGCATTGTAACTTCTGTAAGTCTTCACCTCATTCCAATGATCTGGCAAATTTGAGGACCCCGGCCCTAAATAGAAGGAGCCTGCTTCCCTGAAGCACTTCACAGAGCAGAGCCTAGTACCAGCCCCCAAAGCAACTCACATTGGCCAGTCATATGATTAAGAAGGGGAGGGGATGGGGGATTTACCTTGATAAATCACTGACACAGGGGAGTAGCTAACAAATATCTTCTCTCATAGGAAATAACTATGTTTTTAAAAAGAAAGAATCCATGGAAACAGTCTAATGACTTCAAAAATTACATTTTTCCAGTAGGAGTTAGAGCTAGTCACTGGGGGAAAATGAAAGTAAAAAAGAACCTCATGGAAGGCCAAGTGCCGGGAAGCAAACCAAAGGTCAAAGCCACCTGCAGCAGTTTGTATAAAGATCGACCCCCCTTGACTCGCTGCGTGCCAAGAAAGACCCAGTAAATCTGCACTGGAAGAAGCACGTTTTACAAAAGTCCTAACTCCTCTGAGTCATCAAGCTATTTTTAATATTTCAATAATTCTAACTGCAATTATACATTTATTTCCTATAAAACCTCCCAGGCTATCTAGAACATCAATTTTATTGCTTTGGGCTGGAATTATATAAACTCATTGTGGTAATACCGACTTCTCATGCATGAAAATGCAAAAATGAATTAATTATAATAATGCCCTCCATTTCTTAGTAGCAAGAATCTGTCAATGAGCATGAGCCCCAGAAAGGAAATTAGTAATTTAAGGTGTGTGTGTTTGTGTGTGTGTGAGAGAGAGAGAGAGAGAGATTGCTATGAGTCAACAATAGCTCTATGACAATGGATTTATATATGTACTCACATATATGTTTGCACACTTATGTACATATGAGAGAAAGAGGAGGCTCTCTGCTCCCTTAAAGAAGTGTATACACTCTTGGACACACTAAATAGGGCCACTATGAGTCAGAGCAGTGATTTTTATTTCTTGGCTATAAATACATAGTGGGTAGATGTAAAGTATATTCATATGTTTCTGTTTTATGTGTACTTACCCATGTAGTCACTAGGTGCTATCAAGTCATTTTTGACTCATCAGCAAAACCATGTGACAGAGTTGAACAGCCTCAGAGGGTTTTCTGTATCTGTGCAGAATATCTTTGGAATCACCTGGGGATTTGGTGCTTCCATGTATGTGTAGACTTAGACAGACTAGTATAACCAGGTGGACGTCTTGTGTATATCTGTACATGTGTGCATGTGACCATATGTGTATCTATGTATCATAAATCCTTTCCAGATTAAGTAACTCCAAAACATGGACTGAATAGTTTATCGAGCTGCCCCCAATGTGGAGCCATATTAAAAATTCCCCCACACACTCCACCCACCCCAAATCAAGTCCAACTCATAGCAACCTAATAGAAGAAGGTAGAACTCCCCCCTTGTGGGATTCTGAGACTATAACTCTGTATAGGAATGGAAAACTTGGGTTTCAAACTGCTGACCTTGTGGTAAGCATCCCACTGCATTAACCACAATATCACCAGGGTTCCTGACCCATATTGATAGCTTGGAATATGAGCTATATCTGTGAGGTAATTAAAAGACAGGCTCAAGTGGGGTTCAAATTGTTTGAAATTCTTTACTTATTGATATATTGTGCACATTTATTTATTGATGATTTGTTGCACATCCCCAAAAGACTTAGCATTGAAGTAACATAAAATAACAGCAGGGCATCATTCACCATTTAAAAAATCCTTACTGCTATATAATTAGGGCTGTACTCTAGAGTAATTTTCTAAACAAACAAAAAGAGAGAGAGAGAGAGTTCTGCTCAGCCAGGTGTTGACAGGTGGGTACTAACCATGCCATACAAGTAATCAGACAAACCTCACAAGACCACTCACAGCTCAGGGGCTGAGCTTAGACGCCCCAAGAATAAAGGCATTCTTTCCCAGAGGCTTTGGCAAATAGCCACAGCTGTGGTGTCAGGTTCCCATGGTAGCACAGGACAGGCATCAATCAGTGCCACAGCCACCAGAGGTTCTGTCCAACCCACCAGATGTTCTCCCAATTCCCACCAACTTGGACTTCACCACTCAGGTGGTTCTTCTCCAAATCCTTCCCTCACCCCACCAGAAAACCGCTAACAACCAACGTGTGTTCCCACTGAGTCACCAGAGACATGATGAGCCAGGCAGGGACTGGCGGGAGGCAAGCAAGGCGCCTAAATCCTGAGCTTTCAGGAGGCACCTTCCCTCAGCGCTGGCCCTGCAGTTAAATACCAGCAAGGGAATCCTCGGGTGCAGGAGCCTTGCCACCGCATGACAAGTTTCATTTCTCAACAGCTTTGAGGCACCGCACAGCTGTGCCATCTGCCTCGGGACTAGGCTGTAGCTAATCCACCTGCGTCCCAGGAGTGTTTGAACGTTGGCGAGTCCTCTGATAGCTCATCCCCCTTCAGGAATGAAGTTTAGAACTTCAAAGGCAGTCGCTTCTCACGGAGAATAAAAGTGATGCGTTGGGAGACCCACAATCCATACAAGAGTGGAATCAAGGCCCTAAAATGTAAAACTGGAGTGGTAAAAAGAAAAAAGAACTATTTCAATGGGAGCAAACTTATTCTACAGCAACTGTACTGGCAGACCAGGAGCCCTGGTAGTGACTGCGGCTAACCCAAAGGTTGGGGATTTGAAACCGACAGCTGATCCTTGGGAGATGTGGCAGTCTGCTGCCTCACCAATGACAGCCTTGGAAACCCTGTGGGCAGTTCTACGTTGTGCTGTGGGGTTTCTCTCTATAGGAGTTGACTGCGTGGCACTGGGTTTAGTTTTGGAGGGATTTTGGGTTTAGGTTGTTTGGTATTGGACGTACCAGCAGAAATTTATTGCACGTGCGGATTTAAGAGAACCTTCCCAGATCACCCTCATCTGTGTCTGTAATAGAAGACTCTGCTGCACAAGCACTGGAGACCCCATGTGCTTCATGGCGCCCGCATGGATAGAGTAGAGCTACACCCCACAGGCATTTCAGTGAGGACATCTCGCAGAAGTAGATGCCGTCACTTTTCTTCCTAGATGCCTCTGGGTGGATTCCAACGACCATACTTCTAATTATTAGCTGAGCACCTAACTACCCAGGGACTCCCTTGACGTGCCTGAAGTATAGGGCAATGCAATGCCGTTCCTGCTCTCTCTCTTTGGGTAACGTCATCAGGGATCTTTGCCAACCTAGAAAGTAATCCCCTAAATGGACTCTCACCATTGGTTTTTGTTTCTCCCACCCAATGTATACTACCACTGCCTGTGCCACCTTTCTGCAAACACCGTTGCACGATGCCCATCCACCATTCCCGATGTACGAACTTAACATGGACAGAACCTCCACGATCCATTCCCATCTCTTCTCTGTCTTCATTCTCCCCACTGGTCTTCTCAGAACTTCTTCGTAACTGCTTCAGTGTTGGGTTTGGTTTGTCCAAATCTGTCATGGCTGATCCTTCACACATGAGATTTCCTCTGCCTACAACTCTACACCCACCCCACTCACCCTGTCTGAGTTAACTTTTACTTATCTTCCGTAGACCAGCATAAAGTGACTTAAAAAAAAATTAGGTGTCCCTGTCATGCGTCTATGTTGTACTTTTGTATGTTCCTTAGCTTAATTATTACAGCATAAACTGTCATTTATATTATTACACCATAAATTGTCAATTGCTTGAAAAGGAATTACCTGCTACTTGGACATACCTTGAAAACATTTTGCTAACCCAAGCAGTCAGTCACAAAGCCCACATATTCTATGATTCCATTGTAGGAAAGTCCAGGATATACAAATCTATAGAGAGACCGAGTAGATTACTTGTTGTTTAGCCATTTTGTGAGCTGTGGAACATATTTCAACCACTAATATTTTCAGCCACTCAAGTTTCATGGGAAGCCACTATCCTAGTTGTCCTGGGTGCTTGCACCAGGCAGGGGCATGTGTGACTGTGTGGATCTGAGGAAACAAGCCTCCTGCAAATGCGACCAGATTTTACTTGGGACATATGTGTCCTACATAAATTGTATCAAAATCTGTATTACCAAAGAATTATTTTTCCTTGATTACAGCATACTTTCTATTACATAACACATGGTCTCAAAAAAAAAAATCCCCCAAAAAAACCTCAAAGCAGAAAAAAAAGGTGGAATATGAAAGGATTAAAGTTTGGGGTCAGAAGGGGGTGTGGGCACAGGTAGAAGCAGAACGATATGTAAAGCTAGGGTACAGGGTTTCTGTTTGAGGTGAAGAAAGTGTGCTAAAATTGACTGTGATGGTGGCTGCAAATGTCTGTGAGCATTCTAAAAATGTGAATGAATTGGTTCTCAATAGATTTTTTTTAATGTAGTTGTTGGTCTTCCATATTTACTTACAACTTCTCTAAGGGAGAAGACTGACCACCTTCACCAGGTAAGTTAAGAACACTGAAGACAAAATGGGTGCATAAGCAAATGTGGCGAAGAAGGCTGACGGTGCCTGGCTATTAAAAGATATAGCATTTGGGGTCTTAAAGGCTTAAAGTTACACACGCCGCCATTCAGCAGAGAAGCAACAAGCCCACATGGAAGAAGCACACCACTGGTGCAATTATAAAGACTCATCAGGACCGGATAATAGGCATCAGAAGACATAACAAACAAACAAATAAAAACATATTGTTGAGAACAAGGGGGAAGGAGCAGAGATGCAAAGCCCATCCGTAGACAATGGAACAAACCCCCCACAGAGGGGCCACGGGGAAGGGATGAGTCAACCAGGGTGCAGTAAAGCATCGATGAAACACACTATATTCCTCTGGTTCCTTGAGGCTTCCTCACCCCCCACTACCATGACCCCAGTGCTGCTTCTCAATTCAGATTAAACCAGAACATGTACACAGGTATAGATAAAAGATGGGAGATCCAGACACACAGAATCCAGGAACAAGAGTGGGAATAGCAATACCAGAAGGGTAGTGGGAAGATGGAGAGAGGAAGGAAGAAATGGGGAACTGATCATAATGATCAACACATAACCATACACCCCTCTCAGGGGGAAGAACAACAGAAAACATGGGGGAAGAGAGACAGCGGTTGGTGTGAGATATGAAAATAATAACAATTTATAATCTATCAAGGGGTTATGAGGGTGGGGAGAAGGGAGGAGGAAAAGAGGAGCTGATACTCAATAGAAAGTAAATGTCTAGAAAAGAGAGAAGGCAACATATGTACAAATTTATCTGATGCAAGTGATGTACGGATAGTAACAAGATTTGTAAGAGTCCCCAATAAAATGATCTTTCAATTAAAAAAAAGAACAAAAGGCTCATTCATCCTGTATTTGTGGGTGGAGGTGCTTATTTGTGTGTTAAAGTCATGATCTCATTTAACAAATACACCATGGGTGTTTACTATGGCCCAGGCACACCATGGAAGCGAGTGGTAAAAGAAGCCAACCTAGTCTCTGGCCAAACAATCTGAGTTTCCATCATCATCTGATTAATAACTAACTCCCAGAGTATAGAAAGAAGCTGGGAATGGGGAAGTCAAGGATCTACCAAAACTATGTAAGATCAAAGAACGACATCCCCTGGGAGTTCGAAGATGAGCTTGGGATTTAGGCTTGGGTCTCGGGCAACAGAGTACAGGAATGTCCTTCTTAGAACTCCATTGCAAGCTCTTCCATCTTTGACTGGCTTTTGTAACAAGCTTGCTCAGCATCCAATTAGGAGTATGAATGGTGTGGAGTTGCTCTCAGCCCCTGGATCCAGCCAGAGAGCCCCTTCTCTGCATCTTACATAAAGTAAGACTGTCCTCCCATGCCTGTGTTTGAGAACCCAGTCTGATAAAGTGGTTCTTACATGACAAAACAGCAGCCCTTATTTTATGCTTCCATTCATAAAATTTAGATCTGAAATATCATCTGAGCATCTGAAGTGATTATAAAAAATGTGTAGTCTCATTTCATGTGCATTTTCGGATCATATTCTGTCTAATGTCTTCTTGAATTGCAATCTGCATATACAACAATCAAAATTCATCAAGAACAAGCAAGATATTACATTATTCCTGAAATAAAGGTAAGGCCATTAAAATATGGCAGTTCAAATAGGTGAGATGAATCTTGCAACACATAATGATTCTCCCCCAAACCTCTCTATCTGACATTCCCTTATGTGCATCTCAGAACTCACTGCCCTGGAGCTGAGTGCCAACTCGCAGAAACCTAGAGGAAATGGTAGAACTACACCATGGATTTCCAAGACTGGAAATTTCTACAGATGGAGAAAGCCTCCTCTTTCTCCCACAGAGGAAGCTGGTGGTTTCGAACCGCTAACTTTGTGGTTAGCAGCCCAATGAGACATGGCCATTATACATACAAAAGTAACCTATAAAATATAATTACAACCATGATATAAACAGGTTTGGGGGATCTTTAATGATGATGGAGTAAGTTGTATCTGTCTTGGAAGAAGTACATCCAGAGTCCACTTTAGAGGCAAGGATTTGGAGATTCACCTTTCATACTTCAAATATGTTCCAGCAAAGACAAGTTCCTGGAGCAAGACATCATTCTGGGTAAAGTTCAGGGGCAGTGAAAAATGGAAGGCCCTCGACGAGGTGGAAGGACACCGTGGCTGCAACAATGGACTCACACCTAAGAACAATTGTGAGGTTGGTGCGAGACTAGGAAGCGTTTAGTTCGGCTGTACATGGGTCGCTATGGGTTGGCACCAACTCGGTGGCACCTAACAGCAACAACAACAATCTGTCTCAGAATAACTCTCCGGCAAGTCTCATCATAAATTCTAATCAACAGAAAAAGGGGTTTTGAAAGAAGTGGAGATCACCCGAGAGTGAGTGCAAATGAGAGAAGATGCAAACTATAATAGAATGGATGAGAAACTGAATGGAGTTCATTTCTAAAGAGACTCCCCCTGAGGAGTTCCACGGTGCATACAAATATGTAACATGTGCCCAAGGCTGGAATTCCAATCCAGCGTCATGTTGGACAAAAGGTTTAGCCATCTACTTCTAAAAGATCACAGACATTAAAAGTCCTGTGGAATGCAATTCGATTCTGACAAACATCGTTTTGCAAGGAGTTAGAATCTTCTTAAGGCAACTAGAAACCCTGAGGACATCGTCACCGAGCTCCCAGAGAAGACCTCTGTCTTAAGTGTGAGAGGGGAGGCTCACCAGGCAGCTGACAATGGAGGCAAGAAATCTAAGAAAGGAAAAAGATAAAAGGTCATGGTACATAGTTTCCTAGTAATCTTTACTTAGAATAAATTGTATTGCCTTTCTATTAAATAATACACATTGTTCTTTATAAACAAATGTTTACATTAAAAAGTGTATGAGCTGATACAGAACTGTTGTTAGGTGCCAGCAAGTCAGTCCTGATTCATAGTGACTCTATGTAACAGAACAAAATACTGACTGGTCCTGTACTACCCTCACAATTGTTCTTAAGTTTGTACTCATGGTGGCAGCCACTGTGTCCATCCATCTCATTGAGGGCCTTCCTCTTTTTTGCTGCCCCTCCACTTAACCAAACATCATGTCCTTCCCCAAGGACCGGGCTCTCCTAATAACATATCCAAAGTGTATGAGACCAAGTCTCACCATCCTTACCTGTAAGGAGCATTCTGGCTGTACTTCTTAGACAGATCTGATGGTTCTTTTTTCAGTCCATGCTCCTTTCAATGTTCCTTGCCAACACCATAGTTCAAATGCATCCACTTTCCTTTGGTTCCTCCTTATTTAATGTCCAACTTTCAAAGGCAGATGAGGCCATTGAAAATTCTATGACTTGGGTAAGGCATAATTTAGTCCTCAAAGTAATAGCCTTGCTTTTCAACGCTGTAAAAAGGTCTTGTGCAGGAGATATGCCCAATAAGATACGCCATTTGATCTCTTGACTTCTGCTTCCATGAACATTGATTATGGATCCAAGCATTAGTCCTCAAAGTAATAGCCTTGCTTTTCAACACTGTAAAAAGGTCTTGTGCAGGAGATATGCCCAATAAGATACGCCATTTGATCTCTTGACTTCTGCTTCCATGAACATTGGTTATGGATCCAAGCAAGGAGAAATCCTTGACAACTTCAACCTTTTCTCCATTTCTCGTGATGCTCTCTATTGATCCAACTTCAACCTTTTCTCCATTTCTCATGATGCTCTCTATTGATCCAGCTGTGAGGATCTGGGTCTTCTTTACACTGAATTGCCATCCATAATGAAAGCTGCAATCCTTCCTCTTCATCAGCAAGTGCTCAACTCTTCCGTACTATCAGCAAGTAAGGTTGTTTCATTTGCATATTTCAAGTTGTTAATAAGTCTTCCTCCAATCCCGACGCCACATTCTTTTTCATATCATCCATCATTTCTGATGATATGCTCAATATGCAGTGTGAATAAGTCTGCTGAGAGGATGCAAGCCAGATGTACAACTTTCCTGATTGA